CAGGACTCTGTGCAGGTCAGTCAAGTTCTTCCACACCAAACTCGCTCATCCATGTCTTTATGGACCTTGCTTTGTGCACTGGTGCGCAGTCATGTTGGAACAGGAAGGGGCCGTCCCCAAACTATTCCCACAAAGTTGGGAACATAAAATTGTCCAAAATCTCTTGGTCTGCTGAAGCATTAAGAGTTCTTTTTACTGGAACTAAGGGGACGAGCCCAACTCCTGAAAAACAACCCCACACCATACTTTACATTTGGCACAATGCAGTCAGACAAGTACCATTCTCCTGGCAACCGCCAAACCCAGACTCGTCCATCGGATTGCCAGACGGAGAAGCGTGATTGGTCACTCCAGAGAACACGTCTCCACTGTTCTAGAGTCCAGTGGCGGCGCTTTACACCACTGCATGCGATGCTTTGCATTGCGCTTGGTGATGTAAGGCTTGGATGCAGCTGCTCAGCCATGGAAACCCATTCCATGATGCTCTCTATGCTGTTCTTGAGCTAATCTGAAGGCCACATGAAGTTTGGAGGTCTGTAGCGATTGACTCTGCAGAAAGTTGGTGACCTCTGCGCGCTATGTGCCTCAGCATCCGCTGACCCCACTCTTTCATTTTACGTGGCCTAACATTTTGTGGCTGAGTTGCTGTCGTTCCCAATAGCTTCCACTTTGTTGTAATACCACTGACAGTTGACTGTGGAATATTTAGTAGTGAGGAAATTTCACGACTGGACTTGTTGCACAGGTGGCATCCTATCCCGGTACCACGCTGGAAGTCACTGAGCTCCTGAGAGCGACCCATTCTTTCAGAAATGTTTGTAGAAGACAGACAGATAGACAGACAGACAGACAGACAGACAGATAGATAGATAGATAGATAGATAGATATACAGAAATGCACTTGCATCTTACTATCAAGATAAACAAGATGAGCTGTAGGCTAATTTCTTAGCGGGAGCCACTAAAGTGATGTGAATATTTATAAGCTAATTTTCTTGTTTGCGTGTTTTGTATACGTTTCTGTACCTGCAGTGTTGCTAACTTTGGTCTTGGCGTTGTTTTCTTACAGGTTACTTCATCTGCAAATGCATCAATGAGTGCAGATCCACAGCGCACTTTCATTATCTTTATTGCAGCCAAACAACAATATGCAAAGCATATTTTTAAACATCACTTATCCCAATGAAGCAGTAAAACAAAGACCACCAGAACAGAAGTGCCTCAATGCTCAGTGTGTTGATTACGCAAATAGAGTGTTTGCAGTGGCAAAATCTTTCATCCACCCAGCACCAATACATGTCATTAAAAGGACATGGGGTCCAACCAAAAGAGCTGGACATCTGCAGAATTAATGCACAGTTTGATGAGAAATCAAACAAAAAACAAAATTCAGTGTTGTGTAATGCAAGTGTGCCAAAATCTGGGATGTGTTTGTATTGGAGAGAAAAAAATAAATAAATTCAGAAGATTTAAGAGATCATTGTTGTCTTTGTTTCATGGACTACTTGCTCTTTTTACAAAAGTTGTCGATGATCCTAAAGGATAGTGTAAACACAGATTCGTAACATGAAATAAGAGTAAGATTAGACAGAATATTTGTATTTGTAAACCAGAAACAGCGTAAAATGTTAAAAAAATACCTTTCAATGAAAATGAAACCAGTAGAATTATGATTAGTTCACCAAACACACACAGTTTACAACTAATCTCCTTTTTTTATTACATAAGCAAATTTGAAATGCATTTACAAAATCAAATTTCCACAATCTTTTAACAATACTGTGCAACAGGTGCTTGTCTAGAGTGCATTTTAAGTATGGAGTCTTCCAACAAGGTAAAATGACCTGAACCAAAGAGAGTTTTAACATTTGTTTCATTACAAAGGAATCAGAAAAAATGTAAAGTATTATTTATTGCATGTATTGAGCTTGTATTCATCTGAAATGACCAAAACCAATCCACTGGATACAATTTAACTTTTTACTTGAACAAATAAACATTTTAATAAATCAACCATTTATTAATTTATTCATTATGCATTATTAAGTACATACAGTGTCAGACTGAGGGAGATCCAAGATTCTTTATAGAAGTGGTTGAGACCAGCTGCTGGTTTGGCAACTCCGCGTTCTCCTGCAACTGAAGTGGACGGCTGAGTTGATCATCTCATTGTCCTTTTGCAGTCAAACATGCAGAATGACTTCTTGATGAAGGTGAGGATTTTGACTGCTAATGACTTGAAATACTACAGTACAATCACTTCATATAATTTTAGGTGCATAATAGAAAAGACTCTTAACTGGTATGCATTAGTTTCAAATTTCAATTACTATTTAGTTGGACTAACAGTTATGAGGATTTTGACTACAAATTACTGAAAAATGCCAGAGTAAAATTACTTCATAATTCATATGTACATGTATAGTAGTAACTCAACTGATATCTGTTGGTTTTATGGACTACTATTGGAAATGACCATTTTACAATGTGTACTGACAAGTTTGGGGATTTTGGCTGCCAATTACTTAAAGATTCTACAATTCAATATAATAGTCCACTGATTTTTGATAACGAGAGTCGATATGTGTTCAGTAGATATCCTAACTGAAAAGAGAAGCAGTGTTCAGTCTAACAATGAAAGCCAGTGGGGAAAACCTGTAAACAAAGTTGCGCCACATGCGTAGATCAAGCGCTACGCTGTGGTTCTTGAACGCACAGCATGATTGACAGGCTCGTGAGGTGACGTGCGGTAGGCCGGGTCGGATGTGGGCGGGGTTGGATGTCCAGCTGCGCCTTCCTACAGCTGAACGCACTGGTCTTTCACACAGACAGCGTGTGAGCTGCAGAGAGACGGATACACAGACAGTCCTGCTTCAGACGGACAGACGGACACATCAGTCACTCTGATCAATAAATACATACTTTTTAAAAGTGCACGGCCTGTCTGTCTGTTTACCTGTCTGTCTGTCTGTCTGTCCTCCACAGCGCTCTGACTGTGATGAGGAGAGAGTTTCAGGCCTGGTTCTCTGTTTGACCTTCACTGATCTTCACGGCTTATTTCAGTGTATTTAGCTGCGTGTGTGAACGCGCTGACCTGTTAACCTGGGCGCCGAAATGAAAAACAAGACTATCCGCGCGGAGGCAGCGCATGTGAATAAACAGCGAGCTGGAGCGCCGCTTCTTTACCTTCTCACTGCAGGGGTCTCGCTGAGACTCACAGTAAAGCAGCCCCCCGCTGAAAACAGCCACACAAACCATGAAGAGGGCCTGCTGGTTCCTGGTGGTGTCCAGTAGGCACTGATGGTGTTTAGTGTTCTCCTGATGGGCTGATATCACAGTGTAAAGGACTCTAATGGTTTTAATGGTCTTTGTTCAGCCGATGCCGAGCCAAAAAGTGTGCAGAGTTTTGTGTGAGCATGAAAAGTTTTAACACCTCAGAGCGTTTTAAAACTTTATATATACACATCACTGTAAATATAAAGGAGACATAAATGGAGCGTCTCATATACACAAGACTGAAGTCTGACCTGCCAAGTAACTGAGAAGGCCATTGGACACGCCTGTCAGGTGACGTTGGGGAAGTGGGCTATGGGTCATTCCTTCAGGAGCTGATGTGAATGACATCATCACTCTGAATCTGTTCTTTTTTATTGTTTGATCACCCCTCCAGGTTCAGGTAGACATCAGGCGGAGGGAGAAAACCCTGGAAACGTGGCAGCGCAAAACATCCATCACCTTGACATCAACGACCCCAGGACATATGGTGGTCCTCCAGGTGGTGCACGTGCATTGGTGGGCCTCTACATTAGTATGCGCTAGAAAGCTGCTCCAGCCTTTTCAGTGAAGCCCAAACACATTAAAATGCATAATACTGAGGAGAACTTGCTGCTGTTGAGGTGAACAGTGTGTTTATAGAGGCTGGAAGGAAGTTTGGTGTAGACTATAAATATGATCCTCTGACTAAAGTGCTTCTTACATGGACCAGATGAACTTGGGACCACCTGCCACTTTTACAAGAGCACCAGAAATGATCCAGACCGAGAAGAAGCTTCAAGCATAGAGATACTGTAATAGTTGTATGTAGTTCATCCCCACAAAACTCCTAAATAATAGACAAAATAAACCAAGCCTTACCTGACTTCAGTGGACCATTGCATTGACCATTGTCCAGCTGCAAACCAAGACATACATGCTGGAGAGGCCTGTGAATAAGCTGTGTTTGTTACAACAGGACATCATATAGACAACAGCTGACTGCTGAGAGTTAAATAGTTATTCTCAGTTTATTGGTTTGTGGTTCTTAGTATTAATTTTGATAATTGCTTAATGTCCCTGCCTGACCAGACAGAGGTTGATGATACAAGAGCCACAATAAGGGAAATACTGATACTGAGCGAACATAAACATTCAGCATAAGTTGTAGTGCATGTTTGGAATGAATAAGAAAGTACTGGTGGTTCTGGTTAATATTGTGCTCCACTAGGGGGCAGTAATGTATTAGTCTGCTCAGTTGCAGAGCTGCAACAGACACTAGAGCAACACAGTTCTTTCAGGCTGTGTGACAGTAAATCAAGTTCAGTTAATTTTTTGCTTTTTATTTATTATTATTATTTTTGCCTTCTTTCATGAGTGTTTGGCTGAAACATGGACTGGACTTCATGAATACTGGAACTTCCATGGGACTCCTTTAAAATATGTTTGGTTCTTTGCTGGAATGTGTTACTCTCAGAAGTCAGACCAGTTAAACCAGTTTATGGGTGAAAGGTCAGAGTAACTGAAACTTTTAGTCTGAACTTTAACTGGAGACAAAAAATGTGGACCCCTCTCTACACCCAATTAATAATAATAATGTAATATTCAGAGCATTGCTGGTGATGGACAATCAGTGAGATCTGCAGCAGAGTGTAGTGTCACATTCTTTGGTGATGTAATGAGACTGAAATGAGCTCCAACCAGTTTCTCTGGTTCTAAAGGAAACAAAGTTCAGCCGTGTTCTGGTTCAGTCTGGACAGAGACAGAGAGAGTTCAGCTCTGTAATGTTCTAAAGGCTCCAGTGGGAGAAGAGACTCTACTGAAATGGAGATGAAGTGTCTGTGTTGGTGGTCAGTGATGTTTCTCTTGTAGATCTGCTGTAAATGAACACAGATGAAGGTGGACTTGAACTTTCTCACTGAAGACGTCTAGACAAACCTCAGAAAAGGTAACAGTGCTTTCAGTTCCTCACAGATATCACTGAGGAGTCCTCTGATCTGCATTAATAACTATCTTTATTATAATAACAGCTTTAAACTTAGCATATCACAGAGAAATTATGCACAACATTCATAAAACAATAGGACACTAATTAATTTACTAAAGTAAATAAATACAATTTTAATAAGACAGTTTATTAAAGACTAAATAAGAGTAAATAAGGAGTTAATGTCCTTGTTAAGTGTGAGTGTTGAGGGTGAAGGACTTTAGGAGGAAGTGAATTCCTGATGCTGCCTGTGTAGAAACTAAAGCAGCTGCACCAGTTTTCTTCAGTTTGTAATAAAACACCTCCAGGAAGCTTTCATAGATCAATAAAAGTGATTAGAAGTGCAGATAACATCAGCATTATTGCCATTACTTCTCATCACAGATGAGATTCACTATACTTTGTGTTAGAATAAACACAGATCATCTTGAATACAGTATATATTTTATCAGTTAATACAGTTTATTGATAATGAACTGAGAGATCAGAGAGAGACAGTAACATTATTGATAATGATTATCAGGATTATAGAGGTGATCAGTTCTACTGTCTGTTTATACTAAGATTCTATCAGTAAATACAGTTTATTAATAATGAACTGAGATCAGAGAGAGACAGTATCATTATTGATCATGATTATCAGGATTATAGAGGTGATCAGTTCTACTGTCTGTTTATACTGAGATTCTATCAGTAAATACAGTTTATTAATAATGAACTGAGAGATCAGAGAGAGACAGTAACATTATTGATAATGATTATCAGGATTATAGAGGTGATCAGTTCTACTGTCTGTTCATACTGAGATTCTATCAGTAAATACAGTTTATTAATAATGAACTGAGAGATCAGAGAGAGACAGTAACATTATTGATAATGATTATCAGGATTATAGAGGTGATCAGTTCTACTGTCTGTTTATACTGAGATTCTAACAGTTAATAGAGTTTATTAAAAACTCAGTTCATCAGTCTCTGAGTGTTTCTTACTCTTATATGAAGGTCCTGAAGATGCCATAACAGGATTAGTCCTGTGGAACTAAAGAGAACCCAACTGTAGCCTAATGGAGAGTCTGAGCCTATATTAGCTCTGAGTAGAGTGGTCATCTGCACACAGCTGAACTACAGCAGCTCAGAGTGATGGACCATTTACTGAGAGATCAGATTACTGTTCCACTCCAACACCGTCCACCTGAGAATGATCATACAGTTCTGGATCAATATTACACAGATACATTTTATGATTATGGAGCTCAGATGAAGCTGAGATATGAGATTTACGTCTCCACTACGTCATTGTTTATTCAACACTCTGTTTCCATCACCCTGTATCACAACTCATGTGTATTAATAGACTTTATTCACCTCAGTTTAATGTAAAATCATCTTTTATAATATTTAGGTGTTTTGTACATTGAAGTTTTCTAATTTCCAGAATTCCTGTACAAAGTGATAAAAACCTTCTAATGTGCAGTTCTGTATGATGGACTGTATGAGCTCTACACAGCCTTCACTACAGATCAGTATCATATAATGACCGATTATGATTAATAAAGACTGGAGCAGCAGAAGATGTGATCCGTAGGTCTAGAACCTGTTTCCTCTGTCTGCTTCATCTCCTTCCATAGTGATAAATATGGATTGGATCATTTTAATAAAAAAACATTTCCTGCCGTGTCAACAACAAACTCACTGGTCAACAAAGAGTAACTATGCATTTTTATGAAATATAACTGTTCTTAGCAGCATCTCCAGTGTCCAGCTGTGTGTGGAGAGTAAAACCTCAGTGATGGAGCTTCATCACTCCAGCAGTGGAGGAAGAACCTCTGATTCAAAGTGAGTAACTTTATATCAGCTCTTAACCTGATTAAACAGAAAGAGGTAATCGTGACTTATGATCAGAATAAATGAGTCTTAGTGAAGAACATAATTACTCAGCACTTTAATCTCACTGTGGATGAACTTTTCTCAGAGTGAAGCGTGCAGCATCTCCAGAACCCAGCTGTGTGTCTATGAAGAGTGACTGGTCCATGGAGGAACCTCTTAAATTCAGCAGAGGAGAAGGAGAACCCAGCTGTGTGTCTAGGAGGAGTGGCTGGTCCATGGAGGAACCTCTTAAACTCAGCAGAGAAGGAGGAGAACCCAGCTGTGTGTCTATGAGGAGTGACTGGTCCGTGGAGGAACCTCTTAAACTCAGCAGAGGAGGAGGAGAACCCAGCTGTGTGTCTATGAAGAGTGACTGGTCCATGGGGGAACCTCTTAAACTCAGTAGAGGAGGAGGAGAACCCAGCTGTGTGTCTATGAAGAGTGACCGGTCCATGGAGGAACCTCTTAAACTCAGTAGAGGAGGAGGAGAACCCAGCTGTGTGTCTATGAAGAGTGACCGGTCCATGGGGGAACCTCTTAAACTCAGCAGAGGAGGAGGAGAACCCAGCTGTGTGTCTATGGGGAGTGACCGGTCCATGATGTTACCAGCACAGTCCAGTGGAGGGAGAGGATCCTCTGACTCAGGGTAAATATCTGCTACCAGTAAACAGCAGCTCTGACAGTGAATCATTGTAAACATTTTCCAGGCAGCCAGTGAAATGCAGGTTATGTTACCACATGTAATCATGTAATCACATATAGTAACATAAAACTCATATAATTCCACTGGAGTACTTGGGGGTCATCTATGAAAACGTGCTTACATGCAATTTAGGGTTTAACATTATGTGCTATGCCATTTCTCATGTTGCTCTAATGAAGCTACGTGTGCTGACTTGTGAACATTGGAAAATGTAAAAAAAAATTGTGAGATTTTCAGTAAGTCTAAAGAAACAATGTGTGTTTGTCAACCTTTAACCATGAATGACCATTAATTTTCACATGCACAATATTTAAATCAAAGGTTTAACTGTTAGTGTAATATTACACTTGTCTAGGAATATTTGTTAGTATTAGAAACTGACAGGAGAAATCAAGAGTGCAACACATGTAACATTAAGTCTGAAGCCTGAGGTAAACCAAAAGAAACACATACTAAATGAAGTAGCTCAAATGTAATGCAATAAATATTCAGAAGAATATTAACGTTATGTAAATTATTGATGTCTGTTATTGTGTAACAGGCAGCCAGTGAAGTGCAGGTTATCAACTGTCATTAGTAAACAAATAACTCATGGAATTCCACAGGAGTAAGTGGAGTCACCTATGGACCATGTGCTTACATGCAATTTAGGGCATTAACATTATGTGCAATGACATTTTGTGATGTTGCCACATAAAACTCCAATCATGTCACAAGTGCTGACTTGTGAGCACTGGAAAAATGTGAAGTGTGATTTTTGTGTAAATATATAGAAAACAGTGCATGTTTACTAAACTTTAACCATGAAGAACTACAGGAATTCCCACATACACAATATTTAAATAAGAGGTTTTTTTTTCTCCTGATGATAGGGTCAACGCTTAGACAGTTGTGCCACTCGGGAGCCCCTTAAATAAGAGTTTAAACTATTAATGCTGTATTACAGTTTTCTAAGAATATTAAACATGAAGTTTGTCTTGGGAGCCTGAGGTAAACCAAATGAAACATTTACTGAATTAAAAATGTCAAATTTTGTATAAAAAATGATCAGAAGATTAATATGGGTATTTGTTTTATTGATGTTTATTGTTGTTTGACCCCAATTAGCCAGCACTCTACAGTGGATGACGTTCTTCACAGAGTCTTAGAGAGACACAAAACCATCATGAAGAACAAGTACGAGAGCTTATTTGAGGGAATCAGAACAGAAGAGAATAAAGACAGGATTTACACACAGCTCTACATCATAGAGGGAGAGAGTGAAGGAGTGAATGAAGAACATGAGGTTCTACAGATGGAGAAAACATCCAGGAGACACTTACAAGACTCTCCAATCAACTGCTTAGACATGTTTAAACCTCTACCAGGTCCTGGAGGAGAAACACAAGAAGAGAACATTAGAGCTGTGAAGGCTGACAGTCTCAGACACAAAGAAAGAAAAGAAGATAACAGACCAAAAGAGCCAGAGCTCAGAAGTGTTCTGACTAAAGGCATCGCTGGAATTGGAAAAACTGTCTCTGTGCAGAAGTTCATTCTGGACTGGGCTGAAGGAAAAGCCAATCAGGATGTAGAGCTTGTGTTTGTGCTTCCGTTCCGGGAGCTGAACCTGATTAAAGATGATCAATACAGTCTTCATGGACTTCTGTGTGACTTCCATCCTGAGCTCAAAGATCTGGACACAAAGATTTATGATCAGCTCAAAGCTGTGTTTATATTTGATGGTCTGGATGAAAGTAGAATTCCACTGAACTTTGAACAGTGTGAGAAAGTATCTGACATCACCATGACATCATCAGTGGGTGTGTTGATGACAAACCTCATCAAAGGAGAGCTGCTTCCCTCTGCTCTGATCTGGATAACCTCCCGACCAGCAGCAGCCAATCAGATCCCTCCTAAATACATCAAGCGTGTGACAGAAATTCAGGGATTCAGTGACCCACAGAAGGAGGAGTACTTCAGGAAGAGGATCAGTGATGAAGACCAAGGCAAGAGAATCATCTCCCACATTAAGACAGCGAGGAGCCTCCACATCATGTGCCACATTCCAGTCTTCTGCTGGATCTCAGCCACTGTTCTTCAGCAAATCATCAAACAGCATCATGCAGAAATCCCTAAAACTCTGACTGAAATGTACTCACACTTCCTGCTCACTCAGACAGACATGAAGAATGAGAAGTATGAGGAAAAAGACGACAGAGACCCAAAGAACCTGCTGGAGTCCAACAGAACCATTCTTCTGAAACTGGCTGAACTGGCTTTCAAACAGCTGATGAAGGGCAATGTGATGTTCTATGAAGAGGACCTGAGAGAGAGCAGCATTGATGTCACTGAGGCCTCAGTGTATTCTGGGATTTTCACTGAGATCTTTAGGGAGGAATGTGTGCTTTACCAGAGGAAGGTCTACTGCTTTGTTCATCTGAGCTTTCAGGAGTTCCTGGCTGCTGTTTATGTGTTTCACTGCTATGAGAGCAAAAACATGGAGGAACTGCAGATATTTAACCCACAGTACAGTGGGTGGTCTAAGAAAGTTCCTCTGGATGAGGTTCTGATGGGAGCAGTGAATAAAGCTGTAGAGAGTCAAAATGGACACCTGGATCTTTTCCTCCGTTTCCTGCTGGGCATCTCAGTGGAGTCCAATCAGAGATGCCTACAGGGTCTACTGACCCCAACACAGAGCAGCTCAGAGAGAACCAGACAGTACATCAAGAGATTAATCAAAGGAGCAGATAAATATCACCTCTCCACTAAGAGATCCATCATCTCCACTGAGAGATCCATCAATCTGTTCCTCTGTCTGTCTGAAATGAGTGACGAGTCTCTCTCCAGAGAGATTCAGGAGTCTTTAATCTCAGAGAGACACTCAGAGGAGAAACTCTCTCCTGGACAGTGTTCAGCACTAGCCTGTATGCTTCTGACCTCAGAGGAGGTTCTGGATGAGCTGGACCTGAAGAAATACAACACATCAGAGGAGGGTTATAGGAGACTGATCCCAGCTCTGACTGTCTGCAGAAAAGCTCGGTGAGTGTTACATCTACATTAATACAGCAGATTAATATCAGATTATTGATGATTGAAGGCTGAACACATTAGATCTTCAGTTCAGACAATTAAAAATACATTTTAGTTATTATAGTTTTAGTTATTATGAAGAACTGCAGGTTCACTGCTTGGCCACTTTAATAGAAACCCCTATTTTTGGAGTTATGACTGATTGTTATATTGTCAGTATATTTTGTGGTACATTGTGATAGCGCTCTTCAGTTTTAGGAGCATAAGCATGAAATCATTCAGTTTAATAATTATAACATTAAATTTTACACTGTAAATATTTGAACATTTTTATAAAACATATAACTGAGTAAATCTTGAAGAAGCAATGTTAAACAGTAGCTTATTTGAATGCCAGCATCTAATAAATAATATAAAACAAGGCTCATTTACATGTTCTTCAATTGAACGTATTAACAGTGAATAGAATTCTTAAATAATTCAAGTGATGTTAAGTATGGCTCTAGTTTTTATACCGTTATAGTGTTCAGGGAGGGGTCACGCTAAGTATGGCTCTAGTTTTTATAGCGTTATAGTGTTAGGGGAGGGGTCACGCTAAGTGTGGCTCTAGTGTTTATAGCGTTATAGTGTTAGGGGAGGGGTCACGCTAAGTGTGGCTCTAGTGTTTATAGCGTTACAGTGTTAGGGGAGGGGTCACGCTAAGTGTGGCTCTAGTTTTTATACCGTTACAGTGTTAGGGGAGGGGTCACGCTAAGTGTGGCTCTAGTTTTTATACCGTTATAGTGTTCGGGGAGGGGTCACGCTAAGTATGGCTCTAGTTTTTATAGCGTTATAGTGTTCGGGGAGGGGTCACGCTAAGTGTGGCTCTAGTGTTTATAGCGTTATAGTGTTAGGGGAGGGGTCACGCTAAGTGTGGCTCTAGTGTTTATAGCGTTATAGTGTTAGGGGAGGGGTCACGCTAAGTGTGGCTCTAGTGTTTATAGCGTTACAGTGTTAGGGGAGGGGTCACGCTAAGTGTGGCTCTAGTTTTTATAGCGTTATAGTGTTTGGGGAGGGGTCACGCTAAGTGTGGCTCTAGTGTTTATAGCGTTATAGTGTTAGGGGAGGGGTCACGCTAAGTGTGGCTCTAGTGTTTATAGCGTTACAGTGTTAGGGGAGGGGTCACGCTAAGTGTGGCTCTAGTGTTTATAGCGTTATAGTGTTTGGGGAGGGGTCACGCTAAGTGTGGCTCTAGTTTTTATAGCGTTATAGTGTTTGGGGAGGGGTCACGCTAAGTATGACTCTAGTTTTATACCGTTGTCGTTGTTGAGGTGGGGTCATGCTGAATGTGCTGCTAAACCACACCAGATACTGAAACTTTTTATGGACACAACAGTCTCAGTTATTTTTTACTGCTGAAATAAAGAATATAAGTTATGTAGTTATATAACTGTATAATACATATTGTTTTTTTAAATTTATGTTTAATCTTTTATTTCTATCTAATTTCTGTAATAAAATTCTATCAAATTTATTCAATAGTGGTTATTTTGGGTAGAAGTTATTTAGCTGAGAAATTATTTTTGTGAAAAACTCCTTGAACAGATTTTTGAAGACTAAACAGAAACACCAGCAACACGTATTATCAGTTGTGGAGTAGGTAGCAGGTAGCCAGTGTAATGACGACAGGATTGGGGATATATGGTCAAATTTTTTGGTCCTTGTAAGGACTCTAGCAGCTGCATTCTGGACCAGTTGGAAGCGTATTCCAGTAAAGTGTAGGAGTATCCAGCTGAATTGGTGTTACATTAGTCCAGCCTGGAGGTTATAAAGGCATCAGCTTTTCCGCATCGTTTAAGGCTAGAATATTACGTAGTTTAGCGATGTTAAGCAAGAGAAAGAATGTGGTACTAACAATGTTGCAAACATGTATCAAAAGAGAGACCGGAATCAAAGACGACGTCTAGATTTTTTACAGTAGTGCTTGGAATGACAGTATGGCCTTTAGTTCAGATTTGGAGAGTTGAGGTCTCTCTGCTTTGGGTCCAAGTAGCAGGACCTCAGTTTTGTTAGGATTAAGAAGGAGGAAATTGTCGTTCATCCAGCTTTTGATATTTTTATCACATTCTTTAAGATTATTTAGATTCAGAGCCTCATTTGGTTTAGCAGATATGTAGAGCTGCGTGTCATCAGCATAGCATTGAAAACTAATGCTGAACCTGTGAATTATAGTCATCACTAGGGGTGCGGGAAAAAATCGATTCTTAGATGCATCGCGATGCGGACGTGAACGATTCTGAATCGATTCACAAATGTCAAAAATCGATTTTCTAAATATTTAATTTATAACGTTAACGGAACGTAAAGGCCGGAACATGGAAGTGGGGAAGTGCAGCGCCCGGACAGTCTGTGGCGGCACATAAAGACACAACTGAATGAGGGAGAAACCCGACCGGCACCCTCTGCATTAAAAGCCAGGTTAGGTCAGGACTCACAACCCAAATGTGAAGAAGAGACATTTTGTCCTTTCAACAAAAATCAAACCACCTTGGGAGCCGCAACATTTAATGTCCAGTATGTGTCAGTATGTGATAATGTCCTAGTATAGGCTAAACAATATAAACGAGAGCGCAGATTTACTTTGCTCTGCTTTAAGCTTTAGTTTGCTGTAGCTGCTTTCCTCCCCTTTCCCTCAGGAAACTTTTCCTCAAAAGTTCAATAGTTTCTTCTAAAATGTCTCTCAACATCTGACTGTTTTACGAGGGTGAAGTCACTTCTTATTCTCCAGCTTCTCGTTCGAATTTTCCCGTTCCACCTTAAATTCTGACTGAGGCGCCGAATGTAAATGCGGCACCATTTAAGGTGGAACGGGAAAATTCGAAAGAGAAGCGACTTAAGCTTCGCAACTTTTTAGTGTTTGACCATCTGTCGTTGCAGATTTAACGTACCAGGAATCAACTGCGCTGCTTATGAATGCGAATAACGCATCGCTGCTATGTGACCTGCAGTCTGCACATTGCGAAACAGGGCTTTCGCGCAATGTTTTACATGTCCTGTCTCAAAGATATTTTACTGACACAACGACTACAACAAGATCAAAACCAAAGTTATAAAATCACTGAATTAAACGGGTAGGACGGCTGTAACGTGCTGTGGTGGTCATCCGTTGCCACTGGATCTTATGTCACCCTAACAGCGCATTTTATCACAGATGAGTGGCAGCAGCGTCTCATGTGCTCTGAACAAGAGCAGTGAATGCGCCTTCTAGTTCACTTGCCACATCACTTCCATTTGATTTATTAATAAAAGATATTGGAAGTAAATTCATTATGGATCATTACAAATACTTTGTTTTAAAAGTACCAAGTCCTCAGACAGTGAGAAAATAGAAATGCTGTATAGAAAAAAGATGCATCGAGATGCATCGATAATCGTTTTATAATCGCATCGCAGCCTCTGAATCGTAATTGAATCGAATCGTGAGGTTCCTAGAGATTCCCACCCCTAGTCATCACACTGCAGATCCACCTCATAATCAGTGTGGAAAAGAAAAAAGGATGGACTGATGCTGCTTTGTTATTTTAGACTCCAATCGCCCAGTCTGTACAACCACTCTTTCAAAATAAAAGTCTCTTACAGCTTGATAAAGTGGTGAATTAAGTGCAGCAAAGACTAAACATGTATTATGTGGTATTAATTTTATGCCCATTAGTAAAAATCTAGTGAAACATTCTAGTCAGTGTTAGTCCTGCTACATATGGTCCTGTTGTTGGTCAAACTGCTGTTTCTGATGCTCAATACTGTTCACTCTTATATACAGAGGAACTGTGTGGCTGCAGGTTTTTCATTTCCACCAAGCAGGAGCTCAACTGATGTCCTCCTTTGTTCTACTTGTTTTAGTCTTCAAACATCTGATCAAGGGGGTGTTTTACAAAGCAGACTTTCTCAGCTAGCCAGATAACTTACACTCACAGTAAGCACTGTCCAATCAAACGAAAGATAAGGGACGTTCCTATTGGACAGTTCTCACATTGGGCTTGAGTTAAGGGGTGATTCTGCTTAGTTGGACTGAAAACCTACAGCCACACATAAGACTGAACATTCTTACTGTAAGGCCAAGATAACCTGAGCTGTAATTTGGTCACTGAAAGCCTTGATTTCTGTTTGCAAGCTTTTATTAGTTATTGTTTAAAAAATACATTTGGTGTGATCAGTCAGTGTTATGAAAATAGTGTTTTTTTTTTTTTGAAATAATAGTTTTGAAAAAAGTCTCAATTATCAGAACTTTTTAAAACTGTTATCAAAATTTAAAAATCCAATATTTTGACAGAACTCAGAGAATTCATACACCATAAGTGACAGTCTTACACGTCTCATTTCAGCAGTGCTTTGGATTATTTTAAATTGGACTGTGGTTTAATGGTACTGTCTGTGCAGATAAAGTTCTATACAAAAGTCTAGGCACCCCTGGCCAAATTACAAACCCAATTCCATAAAATCTTGTAACAGAGTGTGAAATGCCAATAACATAGAAAGCAGTGATGAGTGAATTCTGTTTGAGCTGTTAAATTGTAAATAGCCCAAAAATGGTATTTTACCTCATGTTTTACCTTCTGACCTTTATTTAGATGGGACACAAGTAGGTTTATCACTTTAGTACATCACCTTTCCTTTTGCCTGCATAAAATAATTGTATGTGGACTGAAGACTCAAACTGGTCCAGTTTTGAAAGTGATTTTTTGCCATTCTTCCATTATACCAGTCTTCAGCTGTGCAGTCGTGTGGAGCCTTTATTGTTGTATTTCACTCTTCAAAATGTGTTACACATTTTCGGTAAGAGACAGGCAGGCCGGTCTAGAACCTTCACTCTCTGATTACGTAGTCATGCTGTTTTAATACAATTTGCTGATGCATTTTCGGCAGCGTGGTGAACCTTGACCCTTCCTTGCTTATACAAGACTAGGCCTGTCCTGAATGCTCCGTTTATACCGAGCATGTTTACATCTCCTCTTTTAAAATGTTTTTTAGAA